AAGGCATATCTTTCTCCATTCAAAGTCAGAGTCCCTTTGAACTTGTCTAGACGGTTATTGGGAGGTTCACATCGCACTTCACCTGAGAAACAGAAATCAGTGTCAGCAAATAATTCTAAACAGTTCACAGGATAGTTAGAGGACAGCTCGAAGCAGTCTGTGTAGTCTCCTCCGACCTCTGGTATCAACAAGGGATTTTCGCCTACAGAACGGCTGCTCACTGGATGTCTTCTCTTTTGTGGACCATTCTCTGGAAACCCTACAGATGTGGGTTAATCCCAGCAGGTCATCATTTTCTGAAATACTCAGACTAGCCAATCTGGCACCAACAACGATGGAACATTCCAAATTCTTTAAATCAACTTTCTGGCACATTTTATACTCAGTTTGAATTCAAACAGGTCACTTTAATAATGTCCACATGCCAAAATGAAGTGGATTGCTGTCATCTGATTGACTGGTTAGATGTCTGTATTAATTAGCAGGTGAACAGATGGACCTAACAAAGCAAACAAATAAACAATTAAATAAAACCCAAGATCCCATTGTTACATTAGTAGAAAAAGTCGTGCATGAGGAAATACAATCACTCAGTACAAACTTAAACAGTTCAAAGGTGAAATACTGCTCTATTGATTGATTGATTGATTGTTAATTTATTTCAAACATGTAAACAATATACAGGTACATTTAGTAAAGAAAATAAGAGAGAAAAAAATACTATACAAAAGTCAATACGTTTCAATATTGCTACCGTTCTGATTCATTTACGTGTTGAAAGGGAGTGGGAAGAAGAACACACTTATTTAATCCCACCCCTTTGCCATAAATTATCAGTTAATATTTAGTCAGCTTCCTTACTGATATAATCTATAATAAAAATAGTGAACAGATTGCTGATATAATATATACTATAATATGACATCATGATTTTTTTTAAATAGAGACATTCACTTAATTTCAATATTTTCCCTTTCTTTATAGTTCGAGAAGATCATATTTTTATAACTCTTTTTGAACTGTTTTATGTTTGGACATTGCTTTAATTCCATATTCACACTGTTCCATAGTTTCACTCAATGAACAGAAACACAAAAGCTTTATCTTGTAGTACGTACCTTCCCTGTTTTGAAGTTACAAAAACCCCTTAAATTATAACTTCCTTCTTTCAAAAAAAAA